GTTTCATTTCTCTTAAGTACATGATTAAAGATGGAATTTCTGGGTCATATGTTAATTCTATATTAATCTTCTGGAGAAATAGCTAGTACATTTTTATCATCTCCCAGCTATGTACAAGGGTCCAGCTCCTTCAGATCCTTGCCAATATGTTTTTGTTGTTGCTGTTGTTTTCCCAGACAGGGTTTCTTTGGGTTTCTTTGTGTAACAGCACTGGCTGTCCTTGAACTTGTTTTGTTGACCAAGCTGGGCTCAGCCTCCTGAGGGCTAGGATTAAAAGTATGTGTCACCAGGACAAGTTCTATTTATTTATTTAATATTTATTCACTTATAATTTATTTAATTTTATTTTATGTGAATTGGTTGGTGTGAGGGGATCAGATCCTTTGGAACTGAAGTTACAGATAATTGTGAGCTGCCATGCGGGTGCTGGGTATCGAAGCCCAGTCCTTTGGAAGGACAGACAATGCTCTTAACCATTGACCCATCTCTCCAGCCCCAATCTTTATTTAAGGAAGGACCTCACCGTAGTTCCGGATGGTCTGGAATTGATCATATCACCCAGGCTGGCCCGGAAATTAATCCCTTTGTGCTAGCCTCCTGAGCCCCGGAATGTCAGCTGTGAGCCTTTCAATGACAGGACTCACTGTGGACTTTTGTTGTTTTATAAATATACTTAAAGATATTTTAAATTTATATATAAATGTGCTTGCTTCCATGTCTGTATATACACCATCTACATGCCTTGTGCCCATGTGAGAACAGGGCATTGTTTTCTCTGGAACCGAGGGTTGTTAGCAACTGTGTGGGTGCTGGTGATAAAACCCAGGTCTTCCGGAAGAGTGACCAGTGCTCTTAATCAGTGCACCATCTTTCCAGCCCTGTGCTGTTTTGAGATAGAGTCTCTCGATTTAGCCTTTACAGCTGTGGAACTCTCCAGGCTAGCCTCTAAGGCAGATCTGCTTACCTCTGCCTCTGGAGGGCTGGTCACCATAGTCTGATTTCATTGTAGTTCTGTTTTGCTCCAAAGGTGAATGAGCCCAGGTAATCAAGTTTAAGTAAGCTGAACTTGATTTGTGTTTGTTTATTTGTTTGTTTGTGATGGGGTCTCACAATATACTCTAGGCTAGCCTGGAACTCGCTCTCTGACCCAAATTGGCCTTCAGCTCACAGCAATCCTTCTGTTTCAGCTTGGGTTTCAAGATTGTTGGTTTCCTTAATTTTCATTTAAACAAATTTATTTTATTTTATGATTATGATGAGTGCCTGAATGTCAGTCTGTGCACCGTGTGTACACCTGGGGACCATGTTGGAGCCCCTGGAACTGGAATTACAGATTTTTGTGAACCACCATGTGGGTGCTAGGAATTGAACCTGCTTCATCTGCAAGATAAATGCTTAAAACATCTCGGTAGCCCCCGATTTTCATTTTTTGAGAATTTATTTTTATTTTTGATGTCTGAGATGGTGTTTTGGCTTGAGCCTGTGCATGTTAGTGTGCAGGCGTCCATGGAATCCGGATCAGAGTCACAGGCAATTGTGAATGGCTACAAACCCAACTCCAGCTCTCTGCAAGCACAGTTCAGGCTAAACCTTCCCTCTAGCCCTCATTGCTCATTTTCACTGTCACTTGATGGTCTCCAGTTTTACTTCAGGAAGGCAGTGATCCCCTCTGGCATTTAAAGCTGAGTTGAGGACTTCCTGGTTGACAAGCTGCCTTAAAAGCTGTGGATATGTGAAAAGTACGTGCTCATCCCTTGGAGAACATATGTGTTGAAGGTGTGGCTCTGGGGGCTGGAGAGATGGCTCAGTGGTTGAGAGCACTGTCTGCTCTTCCAGAGGTCCAGAATTCAATTCCCAGCAACCACACAGTGGCTCACAACCATCCATACTGGGGTCTGATGTTCTCTTCTGGCTTGCAGGAGTACGTGCAGTCAGAGCACTCATACATAAAATAAATCAATCTTGAAAAAAAAAAAGGTGTGGCTCTGGGTTTAAATCTTTCTTCACTTCCCAGCCTTGTGGTCTTGGGTGGGTGCCTACTTTTTCCCACCTTCAGCCTCATCATTTGTCAAATAAGTTTGCTCTAAGAGTCACACACAAAGTGTTTAGCATGGTATCTAACACAATGAGTTCTCAGTATGTGCTGCTGTTGTTGTTTTGAAACAGTCTCACTTACTTAGCTCTGGCTGGCCTGGAACTCAATGTATAAACTGGGCTGGCCTTGAATTCAGAGAGCTGCCCTTTTCTGCCTCCCAAGTACTGAGATTAAAGGCATATGCCACCATGCCCAGCAAATCAATCAATCAGTACATATGGGTGTTTTACCTGCATGTATGTCTGTGCACCATGAACATACCTGATGCTTGCAGGGGCCAGAAAAGGGTGTCAGATCCCCTGGAACTGGAGTTACAGACAGTTCTGAGCCTCCTTGTGGGTATCGAGAACCAAGCCTCAGTCCTCTAGCAGAGCAGTTTCTTACTTTTCTATTGCTGTGACAAAACACCATGACCAGGGCAATTTATGAAATAAAGTGTTTAGTTTGAGCTTACATTTTCAGAGTTAGGCTCCATGATGGTGGAGCAGAAAGGCATAGAAGCAGGAACAGCTAAGCGTTTACGTCTTGATCCACAAGGAGGAGGCGGCAGAGATGGAACACTGGGAACAGCATGAGTCTTAGAAACCTCAAAGCCCTCTCCGAGTGACACGCCTCCCCCGACAAGAGTTCCACTCACTGGGAACCAAGTGTTCAAACATGAGCCTGTGAGGAACATTCTCATTCAAACCACCACAAGCAGCTCTTCATCTCTTGTTCAGTCATCTCTCCAGCCCCTTTTATTATTTATTGTTAATTTTTACTGTGTGCTTTTATTTGCATGATGTGTGTGTGTGTGTGTGTGTGTGTGTGTGTGTGTGTGAGGGTGTATGCTACTGTGCTTGTGTGAAGACAGAGGACAACTGCGTGCAGTCAGTTATGGCCTTCCACCTTTTTACACGGATTCTAGGACTCAAATTCAGGTCACCAGGCTTGTATGACAAACACCTTTTCCTGCTGAGCCATCTCACTGGCTTATTATTTTAAAAGTAAAGCCACAGAATTAAGTTTTAAAAAATTCTGTATCCCCTCCTGCTGCCCCAAGTAGCCGGAAGAGCAACTGCTTTAACAAAAGCAGTTTGTTAAAGGAGATTTTGAGCACATATTTAAAATTATAACATTGGTTGGTTAAAAGCACATAGCTGTTTTGGTTCCTGATGCAAGGAGTCACATCTTGGGCCTTGCACAGCCAAACAGATGTTCTAGCATTAAAAGCTAGACTTGCAGTCCTAAGCACATTTTAACAACAATGTTATTTAACAACATACATCATATTGGGGTGGTGAACACATTACAAACCAGCGCCCACCAGAAGCAGGTCGAGCATTATAGGAACACATTTCTAGAGTGCCCACCCTCCCTGACACACACCAGTTTAGGGTCTATGTCTGCTGGGAGGAAGCGATGTTTAAACTGAGAGAGAATGAAGTGGAAGGTGGCAGTAGAGGCTTCCCTGGCACGTTCAAGGCCAAGCACTGCAAAACCAACAAAGAAACACAAGCACAAGTAGAAACTCCTAGAGCTAAGGTCCTTGTGTATTCGGTGATGATGGTGGGGCTGCTGTGTGCACGTGTGTGCATGCATGCATACGTGTGTGTACATGAATGTGTGTGTGTGTGTGTGTGTGCATGCATGTGTGTGTGTGTGCGTGTGTGTGCGTGTGCGTGTGCGTGTGTGTGTGTGTGTGTGTGTGTGCTGTTCCTGGCAGGTAGGACAGCTTGTGCTACAGAGAACACAGAACATACTGGGGAGAGAGACATGTGTTCAGAGTGTCTGGAGCCATGCTGGCTAGCGTTTGCTGATGACTCAGCTGAAAGGTGACCAACCACGGAGGCCCGCAGCTGTAACCCCAGCTCTGTGGAGAGAGGGGCAGGACGAGTGCCACAGTTGGTCTCCCTGCTTCAGATAAAAGAGGAAGCCAAGCTAAAATCTGAATACCTGCTGTGGCTGATGACGGCCTTACTAGACGGTGCAATGCAGGTGGCGTGGCAGGGGCGGGCCTCTGGACTTCATGTTGTAGGAAGTGTGCATTTTATTCTTAGTGCTATGAAAAAGTGGCTTTGAGCAGAGGAGTGGGGTGACGTTTATTTGTTTATTATTTTTTTATTTACTTTCGTAATTTAGTTTTTCTTTGGTTTCTGATACTGGGGGGGGGGTGTCAAACCCAGGGCCTTGCACATGCCACTAAATCTACCACTAAAGCCAGATGCTGGACTCTGGTTTATATTTTTAGCAGGCCACCTCAGCTGGTATGAGAATGAGGTGGTGGAACTTTCTCGGGAGAGAGAAATTATTGTTTTGGACCAAGCAGACAAAATCCTGAATATGAAGCAAGAATAGAGGTCTTCCAGCGAAAGAGAGCGAGCCATAGAGAGAGCTGGTCCTTGCTCTCCATGGCAGAAACAGGGCTGTACAATTTCAGCCATTCCTCTTGGCCACCCTGTGCCCACCTGCTGGCTGCTTCTGGAAGTGCCCTTATAAATGGAAACTGCAGCCTTGGGGACCTCTTGGGTGGGGACGCTGAGGGAATCTTCCCTAGATGGAAATATGGCTGCCTTCTCTGGGACAAAGGTTAGACTGGACCTCTTCTCTCCCTGGGGCTATCACACTCTTCTCTCCCTTGTCTGTGGGTCAGCCAGTTTGAACCGCATGGTTATTGGAGGGCACATGGTGGTAAGAATCAGAAGGGGTGGGGGTTAGTGGAGTGGGGCACCAATCCCACACCCGTGACCGCTCCCACCGGGTCCCGGCACCTTAGGGCTGCCTCTGATTGCCCCAGGGGCTTCTCTGGCTATGAATGGGGGTGGAAGTGCTCCGATGGAGGAGGAGGGCGTGTCTCCCCAAAGCAGGGTGTGGCCAGTGGTCCCGCTGATCAGACTGAGGGCCAGTCACAAGTCCCTGACAGGTCGGCATTTAAACCCGCACTGCCCACTGTGCGAACAGGTAGAAGGTGGACGCCACAGAGAGAGCTCGTAACCGGCTGCGGAGGTTCCTGCAACCCCATTGCTGTCAGCTTCGAGCCTCGCCCCTCCCTGCTGCACTTCCTCTCTGTCTCTGCTGCTGAGAGCCCCGCTAGGCTCCGTGATCCTGGCCCCCAGTCCGCCGCCGCTACGTCTTGGCTTCAGCCTGCAGGGTAAGTCGGTGGGCAATTTCAGGATGTCCTGGGGGGTTGCGTCTGGAAGTCTGACAGTGAATGATTGGGTGGCTCTCAGCGCATCTCCATCCTGGAGTAAATGTCTGCGTGGGCTCTGGCTCTCTGAACCTCCAGGCTTCTGCTCTGCTGCTGCTGCTGCTGCTGCTGCTGCCAGAATGGGGATCCCAGGAGGTACAGTAGAAGCCAGTGAGACAGTTGTTGCTGTTGGGGGGTGGGAATGGTTGTCAGAGCCGGACCGGCCAGGGTTTGCTTGAGGATAGAGTGCGGGAAAGGAGGATGTCAGTGCACTGATGTGGACAGAAAGGCGGAGGGTTGCAAGTACGAGTGAAGGTAACCAGATCGGTTCCCTGACTGCTGAGGAAAATGCCCCACCCAGTTCTCTGAGGGTGCTGGGATCCTGTGACAATTTGAGAGCGGGCCTAGGCCACGCTGCCACTTCCTCTCTTAGCCCTGTTCTTTTCTGTCCCTTACTTCTACGTACCTCCCGCCTTCCCCTTTCTCCCACCCTCGCTGTCTTCTGACCCGGCTCTGATTCTTCTTTCCTTCCGTTTCTGTACCCTAGGCAAGACAGAGGCTCCCCAGCTCTCACTAGGTCCCAGCCCCAGACACGTGATGGAGGCCGAGGTGCAGCTTCCGATGAGGGTGAGGTTATTTGTCAGCTAACTCCCGACCCAGCCTGGAGTCTGAGGTGGGAAGGCAGATAGGGCTCACCAGCCCTAAAGCCCCTGAGCAGATGGTATCTGATGCTCTCAGATATGAGTCACACTGGGAGCATGATCAGGCCGAGAACTGAAGAGCAGCACCAGGACTTAAAGTGAGGTGGAAACTCACTTCTCTCTTCTGAGCCGTGGGTTGCTCTGGGAACAGAAGGATGGGACAGACCAGCAGTTCCCTGGAGACCTCCCTCTCTAGAATAAGGGCCTGGCCTGGCCCAACGATTGTCTGAACCGCTGGTCACTGGGCTTGATGTCATGTAGAGAAAGGGTGGGTGGTGAACACAAACATTCTTACCTGAAAATAGGGCTTGAGGTCTTATTGGACATCAGAAATTCCCAAGGGGGAAGCTAAAGACAGCCATGACTTACCATGAGATAATATAAATATACATCTCGTAGGGCTAGTGGCACTGTGGAGCTGCGTGCCCCTCCCCCACTCCTCTCTCTCTCTCTCTCTCTCTCTCTCTCTCTCTCTCTCGTAGCCTTGGCTGTTCTGGAACTCACTAATCACTGTGTAGACCTGCTGGCCTCTGTCTCCCGAATGCTGGGTTTAAAAACATGCACCACCAGGCATGGCTCTCTCTTTGATTTGATTTTATTTTTCGTTATGTGGGTGTGGGTGTGTGTAGAATGGACAGGTAGCTATGGAGTGTGTTGCTCATCATTCTCAGCTTCACTTTTTTTGAGCTAGGGCCTCTCATTGAACTCACCATTTCAGCTAGATTGACTAGCCAGCAAACAGTTCATCTCTGCCTTTCCTTACTGAAGTTAAAGAGCTACCGTGGTGTCTGGCTTTCCGTGTGAATAGTGGTGATTAAAATTCAGATGCTCCTGGCTGTGTGGCCTTTGCTGACTGAGCTGCTTCTCTCTCTCTCTCTCTCTCTCTCTCTTTCTTTGTTTCTTTCTCTTTCTTTCTTTCTGAGACAGGGTTTCTCTGTGTAGCCTTGGTTGCCCTGGACTCGCTTTGTAGACTAGGCTGGACTTGATCTCACAGAGACTTGCCTGCCTCTGCCTCCCCGAGTGCTGGGATTACAAGCATGTGTCACCATGCTGGGCTGGATCTGTTTCCTTATCCCTCTTTCATTTACTTATTTGTTTATTTATTTATTTTGAGGCAGAGTATCCCAGGCTATTTTCAAACTGTGTAGCTGAGGATGACCTTGAACTTCTGACCCTCTTGCTCCTACTTCTTTTTTATTTTATTAATTTACTGCTTATTTTCTGTGTGTGCATGTGCACCGTGTGTATGTGAGCCACCCTATGGTGTGGGGCCTTGAACCCTGCTTCTCTAGAAAAGCAACTAGTGTTCCTAACCACTGAGCTATCTCTCCAGCACCTTGCCTTGGATTGCTGCAGGTGGCATATGCTTTGCTAGGGATAGAGACACTCTGTTTACGGCACTTTATCCCTAGCTCCTGCTCTCAGTTCCTCAATATCACCTTCTTCAGGTCCCGGACAGAGCTACCCGACCGGGGCATGAGGGAGAGGGGAGCCTTGACATCTCCATCTCCACAGACATCCCAGCTGTAAGGGGCATCCTCCTCTCTCAGGATGACGTCACCCTCCAGCCCCCCAGCTTTTAGGCTGGAGACATCAGATGGAGACCAAGAAGGCAGTGCTGAGGTGAACAAAGGAAAGCATGAGCCGCCCCCCATGGAGTCACCGTTCCAGGGCGAGGACCGGAATTTCTCCCCTCAGATCAAAGTGAATCTCAACTACCGGAAGGGACTAGGTCCCAGGTAAGGCAGCAGCTGAAGGTGCTCCCACACAGCACTCAGTCGCTCAGTGGCCGATCTGTCACAGCGTCTCTCTTCTTCACAGCCTGGCTGTGTTGACTCCTAAATCCCACATTCTGCTCTCTAAAAGTTCCTCCTTCCGGAATGTTCTCCATCCTTGGGCCTTCTGCCAAGATCATGCTTTTGGTAGGGATACCCTCATGCCGCTGCTAATCAAACATCCCTTGATGTTTTGACTCCCACCCATGCTGGTCCTGGTGGTAGCTGGATCCACAGTGCATTGGGAAAGAGAGACAAAGATGTTTGGAAATGTCTTGAGTGCGCCTCCACTCTGCTCCAAGCTGACACAGTCACTTAGGCAATGTGGACCCTGAGCATTGAGGACAGTGGGTTTCTGCTTATAGTCATCTGGGCTTTGACTTTCCTGTGAGCTAGAGAATTCAGACAGTGAGTCTGGAGAGTACTGCTTCTAGTCCTGCTAGGGTGCTGCACCTGGATTCCCAGAATCCCCAGGGGCTGGCAGGACTGCCAGGAAAGCCCGTTTCTCCCTGCTCCCTGGGATGTGGCCACCAGCCTTGGCACGCTGTGTTCTTTGTGTCCGAGAACTGTGGCTGGATTCAGCGACAGCACAGACAGGTGCGTGGGAAGCATTCATGAGTAGTGAGGCTGGCCTAACAGAGACAGAATGGGCTCCATGATGTCCTTTGGAGCTCCAGTTTGCGCCTTTCTTTGCTTCCCTATTCCAAGGCTGCCCTGGTGGCAGGAAGAACTGTCCAAATGGCCATATTTTCCCAAGCAGACAGACCACAGGGCTTCAGCAGAGCCCCTCATGGCCATGTGGCTATGTGGCTATATGCCTATACGGTGAACGATCTAGCCAGAATGACACAGACACATAGCTGAGTGCTGCCACAGGTGTGAGGCCTGGATTTCCAGACACCACGACTGTATAGCTGCAAGTGTGGGTTAGTCACCCTGTGTGTCATTCGGTGTGTCAGGGTCTTCGGTCCTTATCAGGTCAGCTCATTCCACAGAAGATTTGCTTGTTTGAGTTCTTGTTTTAAGACAGACTATTGTTATACAGCCCAGACTCGTCTCCAGTTTGAGGTGATCCCCCTGCTTTGGCCTCACGAGTGGTGGGATTACAGGCATGTGCTACCAGCTTTCCACAGATGTTAAGCTGGGACCATGAGGTAGCCTTCTTCTCTTAAGTAGCCGTCTCTTCCCTCACATCTTTTCCCAGGGGCCCCAAAATTAGACAGGCCGTTGTGAATACTGACACGGCCTAAGAATGGCTGCCTACACTCATTTGGGCTCTCAGCATGCTGTAGGCCAGGGCTAAGCACTTTGTTTTCTGATGTTCCCTTGGATCCTTGTAACATCCCCTAAACACTTCCATCTTTCAAAGACATGGGCTAGATTGAGAGATGTTAAGTGACATGCAAAGGAGTCAGAGCCATCTCACCGCACAACTGTCCCCATCACAAAGACAGCACCACTCCATGTCTGTTGAGCCGTAAGAGGTCTCTTCTGGGCTCTGTGGGAGAGATTTCCCAGAAGCGTGGCTTCTCGGTAAAACCGTGGTCAGCATATGATATTGGTGGGTGAACATGATAGCCTATCTCTGGGAAACATCTGGCTTGCCCAGCTCAGACCCTGTCTTGGGGTTGAGATGGAGACTGATTTTAGGCAGTGGTCCCCATGGTGGCTCCAATTCTGCTCTGAGTAACTTTGGGTAAGTTGCTTTGCTTGTTTGTCTGATGGGGAAGGAGGTGATTCACTGACCTGGAGGGCTGGAGGGCTGATTAGCAGTGCTGACTCCTCTCAAGTAACGAGCAGATGATTTCTGAGAGGAGAGCTTTCCTCACCTTTTAGGCTGGTGCCAGGGATGAACCCAGGGCCTTCTGCAAACCAGGCAAGCCCTTTACTGCTGAGCTGGATACCTCCATCCCTGTTTCCACTTCATTTTTGCAGTCAGTGCTGCAGGCCGCCTCTAGTCTGCAGGCACCTCCTACAACCCTGCCCAGACCCATGCGAATGTTCAAGGGCCGCTGTAAGGCCTAACAGCCGGAAGAGTCCTGTGGATAACGGGTCTTTTGAAGATGATGCGCATGATGCTGAAAATTGCCCGGGATGAATAGAGCCACAGTATTGTGGCAGACTAAAGTCTCAGTGGGTTTCTTCTCCTCACCAGGAGCTCTGAGCTCTTGGAGCCCTAGGAGAGAAAACCCCTTAAAAGAGTTCCTGTGTAACAGGAGGGTAGGCCGTGCTATAGGAGTACCTGACAACGCTTCCATGCACGGGGAGGCACTGTGCAGGACTCACTGGGGCTTTCTCCAACACGAGAAACATTTTTTTACAGCCAGCAGGACCCAAACCGATTTGACCGTGACCGACTCTTCAGTGTGGTCTCCCGGGGCGTCCCGGAGGAGCTGGCTGGATTGCCGGAATACCTAAGCCGGACCAGCAAGTACCTCACTGACTCATCATACACAGGTAGCCACTGTCCCATGGTGTCCTTTGTGCTCAGGAGCAGAGGGACAGCTGTTCTCCGGGCTGGAGAAATGGCTCAGTGGTTGGGAGCGCTGACTGCTCTTCCGGTGGACCTGGGTTGGATGTCCACCTGTAGAAGCAGTTCTGGGAGATCTGATCCATTTTTCCTAGTCTTCACAGCACTACATGCACTCTAAAATAAGAATAAAAAAACAAAACAAAACCAGAAAAAAAAACCTGGGGCTGTGGTGGCGCATGCCTTTCAGCCCAGCACTCAGGAAGCAGAGCCAGGCAGATCTCTGAATTTGAGGCCAGCCTGGCTTACAGAGCAAGTTTTAGGAGAGCCAGGGCTCTGTTACACAGAGAAACCCTGTCTTTAAAACAAAATAAAGCAAACAAAGATAAACAAAAAAGAGCACTCTAGAAGATTCAAATGGTAAAGAAATATGAGAAGCCAAGAAAAAAACAGCCTGTCATCCTGGGCCTGCTACTAGCTTGGCATCTTTTCAGATTTTTCCAAAAGATTAGGTATATAAAGAGTTGCTGGGCTGGAGAGATGGCTTAGCAGCTAAGAGCACTGAGTGCTTTTTCCAGAGAACCCAGATTCAATTCCCAGTACAACTGTCTGTAACTTCAAGCTCTGACAGCCTTACACAGACAGACATACATGCAGGCAAAACACTGATGCACATTAAAAAAAAGTTGCCATGTGCAATAATTTATAATATGCTGCCTCCCTCGCTACTGGATGCATTTATTTCTTTGGTTGTTGAGATGGGATCTTACTATGTAGCTCAGGCTAGCCTTGACTTAGTCTCCTGACTTAGCACTCCTAAGGCCTGCAAGGCTTATGCTGCCATGCCTAGCTCCATGGTATAGGTGTTCTCCTTGGTGTAGACAGACCATCATGGAGTCAACTAGTGCCTGTAGTTGGGACATCAACTTGCCATGTGCTTGACCCTCTGTTTGCTAAGCCCTTTGTTTATGTTATTCTCCTAAGTTTGCTTTTTAAAATTTATTATTAATTTAATTTTTTTTTCCAGACAGGGTTTCTCTGTGTAACTTTGGCTGTCCTGGAATTCACTCTGGTAGACCAGACTGGCCTCGAACTCACAGAGATCTGCCTGCCTCTGCCACCACTGCCCAGCTGTAAATTTTTATAGCAACCCTAGAATATTTCCTTTTATCAAAAAGGAAAATAAGTTAAAAGAGGCCAAATCACTTACTGAGGGAGTCAGAGCCATTAAGGGAGGGAGATTCTTGCAAATTCTGCCTTGGATTTTTTTTTTTTTTTCTTATATAGGGGTCTCATGTAGCCCGGGCTGACCTCAGCTATGTGGTGGATGATGACCTTGATTTTCTGATCTCACCTCCACTTCCCAGATTCTGGGATTACAGGCATGTGTTACCTTGACTGGCTTTGTGTGGAGATCAAACCTCAGCCCTGACCTGGGTATCCATGTACAGATTCTGAATATTACAGGACTGGGTTTGGTGGCGCTTGCCTTTAACCCCAGCGCTTGGGAGGCAGAGACAGATGGTTCTCTGTGAGTTCCAGGGCAGCCAAAACTACAAAGTAAGACCCTGTGGCAACAACACAACAAAAACCCTCACACATATGTTACATATATATTGAATTATGCCTTAGAAACTTGGCGTTGAGGCAGAAATTGTAGTCAGGCCTGTTGGTATTTTAATGCCTGTACTCTGGAGCCTTAATATCTTACAACGAAGCTGTGTTGCTGCCAGTTGATTACAGCCCCCATCCTTTCTTGTCCTCCCACGGGGTGCTCTGGAGCCTGGGTTCTCAGCCTTCCCGTGTGTCTGAGCATCGCCGGTGCCTTCTCCTCTCTCCTTGCAGAGGGCTCCACTGGAAAGACGTGCCTGATGAAGGCTGTGCTGAACCTTCAGGACGGGGTCAACGCCTGCATCCTGCCGCTGCTGCAGATTGACAGGGAATCCGGCAACCCTCAGCCCCTGGTCAACGCCCAGTGCTCGGATGAGTTCTACCGCGGCCACAGCGCGCTGCATATCGCCATAGAAAAGCGGAGCCTCAAGTGCGTGAAGCTGCTGGTAGAGAATGGAGCAAACGTTCACGCCCGCGCCTGTGGCCGCTTCTTCCAGAAGCACCAAGGAACTTGTTTCTATTTTGGTGAGGGAGCTTTTCTCAGCTACGCTGAGGTACAGAATGGGTAGAGCTTTGTCCGAGGTCACATGGTTAGTGACTGGCAGAGCTGGCACTTAACCCCTGTCCGCCTGCTTCTAACCATCAAGATTACATTACAACTTGTTTAAAGAGGCGCTTAACCAGCCAGGTGCGCTGGCGCACACCTGTGATCCCAGCACTCAGGAGGCAGAGGCAGGTGGATCACTATGAGTTCCAGGTCAGCCTGGTCTACAAAGTGAGGCCAGGACAGCCAAGGCTACACAGAGAAATTAAAAAAAAAAAAAAAAAAAAGAGGACCAAAGTAAAAGGTTGAGAGAGATACTTAAAATTATGTGTATGTGGTCTATATATCAATACTTGTTCATGGGTGTGCCTGTGAGAAGCCAGAAGTTCTCTTTCTCTCTCTCTGGTTTTGTTTTGTTTTCTAAGACAGGGTTTCTCTGTGTAGCTCCAGCTGTCCTGGAACTTGCTTTGTAGACCAGGCTGGCTTCTGCCTCTGCCTCCAGAGTGCTGGGATTAAAGGCTTATGCCACCATGTCCTGCCATGGCTGCCACTTTATTAAATGATCTATTGCCCTATTCCCCTGGGTTCCATTTTCAACACCCCTCCCCAAATCCTCAAAACAAATATACAAATGACAACAGCGAGACCTGACCCACCTCCACCACCAAAAACCAAAATAAGGGGCCGGGGAGATGGCGCAGCTGTTAAGAGCACTGACTGCTCTTCCACTCAGTGGAATTCCCAGCACCCACATGGCAGCCCACAACTCTCTGTAACTCCAGGATCTGACACGCACAGACATCCATGCAGGCAAAACAGCAACGCACGTAAGATACAAATAAATAATTAAAAACAAAACGAAAGCAAAGAAGCCCCACCAAATCAAAACCAACCTGATAGAGCAGAATTTCAATTAAGCGGTGGTGACTGGAAGAGGCGAGTCGGGGAGGGGAGATCTGGTTGGCTGCCTCTTATTCTTCCGGATCTGCTTCAGGGAGACGGGGCCTGCTGTCTGAGGAGCAGGAAGAACCGTGAGGTGTAGGCAGAGGCTCAGACTGCCCTGTCGGTCCACAGGCGAGCTCCCCCTCTCCCTGGCTGCGTGTACCAAGCAGTGGGATGTGGTGAGCTACCTCCTGGAGAACCCACACCAGCCTGCCAGCCTGAAGGCCACGGACTCCCTGGGCAACACCGTGCTCCACGCTCTGGTAATGATTGCGGACAACTCTCCTGAGAACAGCGCGCTGGTAATCCACATGTATGACGGGCTTCTCCAGGTGGGCGCCCGTCTCTGCCCTGATGTGCAGCTGGAGGAGATCTGCAACCATCAAGGCCTCACACCCCTGAAGCTAGCCGCCAAGGAAGGCAAAATTGAGGTGAGTGCTGTCCCTTCCCTGCCTCTCTTGGCTGCAGTAGTTCTCGGGGAGACAGGTCCCTCTCACCCTGGGCCCTTCGTTATCTCCCTCCCTTCCCCATCTCCCTCCCTTCCCCATCAACAGCGTCCCCTTACATTCCTTTCTCACATTCGCTTCTTTTTTTGTTTTGTCTTGGTTGACTGAGTTTAGCCAGGGCCATCTGTGCCATCATAGGTTTCAAACTATCCATTGGTACCTGGCAGGCTTACATGGTGCCAATGACCGCCTTTCCCCAAGAACGTGCTAATGGACAGTAGTCGAGTAGGATGGGGGAGGGTCCTCTCCAAACTATGGTTTGCTGTGGACAGGCTCGGTCTTACATAGGCCCAGTGCAGTACTAGCAGTGCAGGATACTTTCTGTACAGAAAACAGCATTTGCAGCCCTTTCTCATCCTCTGGCTGTAGTATGATTTCCAGCCTTGTCTTCGGAAACGTTCGCTGAGTCTGGGATGAGGTGGTATAAATGTTCTGTGTAGGGTGGAACACACAGTGGTCACTGATTCTCAGCACCCTGGGCCGCCAGGAGGCTCTGCCTTTATTTCAGTTCCTTGCAGAGAGAAGCTCTCTGATTATGGGATGGGTATAGTGTTTGTTTACAGGTCTAAATGTGAATATTTAGAAGGCAGTTTGGTGCCATGTTGCTTTAGATAAGCAACTACAGTAAGTTTGCCTAAAGGACCTAAGGCCTCCTCAGCCATGGAATTTTCACTGGGTCTATAATTCCAAACACTGGGAATATAAGCAAGTGAGTCTTTTTTATCTTTTCTTCTCTTTCTTTCTTTTTTTGTTATTAGATTAGGAGACAAATGCATTCACTTATTTATTCATTTATTTTATGTTGATGTTTTGCCTGCATGTATTCTGCATGAAAAAGGTGTTGGACTGTGGAGTTACAGGCAATTGTGAGCTGCCATGTGGGTGCTGGCAATTGAACCCAGGTCCTCTGGAAGAGCAGTCAGTGCTCTTAACCAACGAGCCATCTCTCCAGCCTGGAGACAAATGTTTTAAAAAAAGATGATTTTTATTTCACGTGCATGAGTGTTTTGCATGTATGTACGTACCTGCAGTGGGAGAGTGTTCGGTGCCTGTGGAGAAGGGTGGTGGATCCGCTGGAACTGCAATTACAGATGACTGTGAGCTGCCATGTGGGTGCTGGGCACTGACCTGGGTCTTCTGCAGAGGCAGAAAGTGCTCTGAAGACACCAGAGTGTCTCTCCAGACCCCTGGGAGACAGCTATGTCACTTCTCTGTTGCTGCGGTAAAGCACCGTGACCAAGGCAGCTTAGAGAAGGAAGGGTTTATTTGGGCCTTGGGTTCTGGAGGGACAAGTCCATCACCATCAGGGCGAGGAAGCATGCCAGCATGGTGCTGGAGCAGCAAGCAGAGCGTGCAGCAGCCAAGCAGGAAACAAGCTCAAAGCCCCCCTGCAGTGACACACAGCCCCCGAAGGTGCCACACCCCTAAACCTACCCAAACCTAGGAGGACCAGTGTTTAAACACCCGAGCCTCTGGGGGACTTTTCCATTCACACTAACCCAACAGCTTTTTCCTATACGTTGTCTAATTTGCTGTGAGTCCTGCTATCAGATTTTCTGCAGATTTGTTTGTTGTTGTTGTGTTTTTGTTTTTTTTGAGATAGAGTTTCCTTGTGTAGCCCTGGCTGTCCTGGAACTCTCCCTGTAGACCAAGTGGGCCTCAAATTCAGAGATCTGCCTGCCTCTGCCTCCCTAGTGCTAAGATTAAAGGTGTGCACCACCACTGCTGGGCTGATATTTTGCAGTTTTTGTCTGCGGTGACATTTACATTTTTTTCATCTCAGTGTAAGCTTGAAAACACACACACACACACACACACACACACACACACACACACACATACATACACACACCCCTCCATGGTCACCTGGAGGTAGAGACAGGTGGTTCTCTATGAATTCCAAGTCAGCTTGGTCAATATAGCAAGCTGCAGTCCAGCAAGGTCTACAAAGTAAGAGTTGTCTTTTAAAAAAAAAGGTGTGGGGGGGTAAGGGTGGTGGTGTTTTCTTTTGTTGACATATAGAATTCAAACTTTTTGTATGTGTGTGCCTGATCATGGTTGCCTAGAGTCTTAGTTACCTGGAAGGCTGAAGCAAAATGATCACTTGAGCCCAAGAGTTCAAGACCAACCTTGGCATAAAGTTACTCCCTGTGTGAGCAAACAAGCCAAATCGAACTTTTATGTGCACAGGTGTAATTATCTTTTCCTTCAAATTTCTTGGTTTCCCCGTTACTTAACACTTTCTACAATATTATATACGCAACCTGTGATATAACCATGTATCATATATAATAAATATTGTGTTTTCAAGATTATTTATTTTTATATGTATGAGTATTTTGCCTGTATGGTGTCTGTGCACCACATGCATGCCTAGAAGAGGGTGTACGACCCCCTGAGATTGGACTGTCTGTAACTCTAGTCCCAGGGGATCCGATACCCTCTTATGTACTCTGTGGGCACTGCACACACACGCATGCACAGAAACACACAGAGTTAAACACACATACACACATTTAAAACAAACAAACGCCTTGAAAGCCATGGCTCTGTGGCCTGTGTAAATTGTGTGTACATTGGCACTCTCCTGGTCCTCGTTCCTCTGTGTGAAATCTAAGCTGTCTTAACCTATTTTAGAGCTGAGACCCTTTCTACTCTATTAGACGTTCTGCACCCGACCACGGAAGAGCGCACACGCGCACACACACACACACACACACACACACACACACACACACACACACAGGCATAGGTGATCTCTGATTCCACATGACCTCAGGTCCCCAGCTGGGATCTCTGAGCTGTCTGAGGAGCTCAGGAAAGAAATCCACGGGGGCAGAACGGGGCTGCATAAGCAGGAATGTAATCCTGATAGTTCACCTTTAATTGGGTGTACATAAGAGCTGAGACATGCTAGGATCTATGCGCCCGGCAGGGGCTCAGTGCTGCCGGGCCCTGACACAGCATTCGTGCGGGCAGGGTGACTGGCCGGTGAGCTTATGTGAATGCCCTGCAGATTTTCAGGCACATTCTGCAGCGGGAATTCTCAGGGCTGTACCAGCCCCTTTCGAGAAAGTTCACCGAGTGGTGCTACGGTCCTGTCCGGGTATCACTCTATGACCTGTCCTCCGTGGATAGCTGGGAGAAGAACTCAGTGCTGGAAATCATCGCCTTTCATTGCAGGAGTCCGGTGAGTTCATGGGGGTGGGTCTGCCTAGAGATTCTGGCTAAGGGCAAGCCCCCAATCACTGGAGGCAGGTGGGAGGCACATTTCCAGGGATCCTGGGCCTGGTAACTCTCGTTCCCCATTTGCTCCCCTCCATTTCCCTTGGCCTTTCATGGAGCCTGGCACGGAGTAAGTGCTTGTCACACCATCTGTCCAGCTGTGTCCTTCCTATCTTGTGCTTTTGGCTCTCCCCCCCCCCCCCCCCCCCCCTCCCCCCTTTTTTTTTTTTCTCCCCCCCCCCCCCCCCCCCCAGCACCGGCACCACATGGTGGTCTTAGAGCCACTGAACAAGCTTCTGCAGGAGAAGTGGGATCGGCTCATCCCGAGATTCTTCTTCAACTTCGCCTGTTACTTGTTCTACATGATCATCTTCACCATTGTTGCCTACCACCAGCCTTCCCTGGACAAGGCAAGAGCTGGGGGGGCGTCCTGGGGTGCATTGGCTTGAACCCTGGGGTGAGAAGAGGCGAGGGCCGCCATCCCATCCTACCAAAGAGGACACCGAGGCTTAGGCATCTTGAGGGATATACCCAGAGCTCTTCTGGAAACAGTCCCCTAGGATAACAACAGCAATGACAGTGACACACATCACTTACACTAGCCACTGCCGGTATAAGTGTGACTATAACTTATACAAGTGCTCACACTGGTGGCTGCGCACACCAACCCCTGGGGGGAGAGACTGCCAACCTCAGTTTACTCTTGAGGTAAGGGAGAGGCACAGAGAGGTTAACTTTATTTTCTAGGGTAATAAAAACTCTCTAGTGGTAGAGGTGACCTGAACCCAGATAATCTGGCTCCAAGCCCAATACTAATAACTGCTATAACTAATAGCTGCTATAACAATACTAGTAACTGGAGTCAGGGCCCTTCCCCAGAGCCCATGTCCTCTCTGCGGCTCAGAGTGGCCTCTCTGTAGTGCAGGCTCAGAATCGTCACCTGAGCTTCTTAGACAGCTAGCCATTGGGGATGGGACCCAAACTCTTGGTCTTATGGGAGTGTTCGTCTCTCCAGCCAGCCATTCCCTCATCAAAAGCGACCTTTGGGGAATCCATGCTGCTGCTGGGCCACATCCTGATTCTGCTTGGGGGCATTTACCTCTTACTGAGCCAGGTAAGAAGAAAGACCTCCCTATTTCTCTACCTTATGAAGCATCCAGTCAACCAAGAAGCAAGCCAGGACGTTACAGAGAGTAAACTATACTCTCTTCACTGCAGGGGAAACAGATTCCCATGCTCCGCCTCACCAGAGTGGAGAGCTCTGGCCCTGCCTTCAGGGGGGCCTGGCACTCTTCCCGCTATGCCTTCTGAGGTACCTGTGGGGCCGCAGACAGTTTCTGTGTTTCTGGCAGTGCAGGCTTTGCTCCCTTAGAAATCAAGTCTGAAGGCCCTGCCTCAGGTCCTTCAGCGGGCAGCTGGGGAATTCCTCACTTGGTAAGCATAAAAAGCAACTGGCAGGTGGTGCTCAGTCCAAATCCCACAGCAAAACATCTCAGTCTGGTGGCAGGCTTCCAGGAGGCAGGTTAGATGCCAAGATATAGAGACGTTAGAGGGGGCAGAATGTGACACCAAACTCAGGTTGGCTGGAGTACAGGGCGATACCCAGATTGCCAGCAAGAGGCAGAGGGAGAGGCGCCTTCCTCCATTCTGTATGCAGTACACAGGCACTCCTTCTGGATCCATGGGGATCCGGAGGCCCCATGTTGTCCCAGCTGGCTTTGAATTTCCAAGTTCAAGTGAGTTTCCTGTTTGAGCCTCCCAAGTAGCTGGGACTGAAGGTGTCTGCACTGCACGCTTCTCGGCTGTGTATTTAGGGCTCAGGAGTGCCCCAACCTCAAAACTATTCCCTCACTAGGCATGGTGGTGCATGCCTGCAGTCCCAGCTACTAGGGAGGCTAAGGCAGTAGAACCCCAAGTTCAAGGCCAGGTTGGGCTACATCTTAGTTAGGGTTATCATTGCTGCAATTCATAGGGTTATCATTGCTGCAACTGTAACCAAAAGCAACTTGGGGAGGGAAGGGCTTATTTAGCTTACATTCAGGATACTGAATCATAGTCCACTGAAGGAAGCCAAGGAAAGCATTAAAAAATGGCTGACACCTGGAGGCAGGGCTGATGCAGAGGCCACAGAGCAGTGCTGCTTATCCCCCATGGTTTGCTCAGCCTGCTTTCTTATAGAAACCAGGACCATCAGTCCAGGGTGCCCCACCCACAATGCGCTGGTCCCTCCCCCGTCATTCACTAAGAAAACACCCTACATGCTTGCCTACAGCCTGATCTTATGGAGGCATTTTGTTAGTTGAAGTTCCTTCCTCCCAGATGACTCTAGCTTGTGTCAAGTTGACATAAAACTAGCCAGCACAGGGCTGGAGAGATGGCTCAGTGGTTAAGAGCACTGCCTAGTCTTTCAGAGGTGGGTTCAATTCCTAGCAACTACATGGTGGCTCACAACCATCTATAATGAAATCTGGTGCCCTCTTCTGGAATGCAGGTGTACATGCAGATAGAGCACTCATACACTTTTAAATCAATCAATCAATCAATCAATCAATCAATCAATTAAATCTTTTTTAAAAATGGGGACTGGAAATCTGGCTCAGTGGTTAAGAGTGCTAGGTGCTCTTCCAGAAATCCTGAGTTCAATTCCCAGAAAACACATGGTGGCTCACAACCATCTATAATACAATCTGGTGCCCTCTTCTAGTGTGCAGGTAGAATGCTGTATATAAATCTTTAAAAAAAGTAGCCAGTACAAGATATATATATATATATATATATATATATATATATATATATATACACACACACACATTTATGTATATATAGTATACTTATATATACTATGTATACATATATACATATATATCTATATACATATATATCTATATATACCATGTATATACATATAGGTATATATAGATATATACCTATAAGTATATACATATAGGTATATATATGTATGTGTGTGTAGATAGATAGATAGATAGATAGATAGATAGATAGATAGATAGATAGATAGAGAAGGCTACAGCTTCAGTTCCTGAGGTGGTGTTAGTCAGGTTGCCATACCATGAAGCAAAGTAGGGGAGCTGGAACCCAGGCTGCACTTGAAGCTGAAGAGCAAGTCTCACACCCCAGCCTCTCTCCTCCACAGCTGTGGTACTTTTGGCGCCGTCGCCTGTTCATCTGGATCTCATTCATGGACAGCTACTTTGAAATCCTCTTGTACGTGAGTCCGACTCCTCGCCCGTACCATCCCTAAGGTCTGGGGTGGCAGGTGAGGCAGAGTACACCAAGCTGGTTCTAGAGGCTGGGATGCAGGGCCTCAAGTTGTTCTGGGGGTGAGGGAGTGTGTGCCCCACCTGGGAAGCCTGGCTCCTGGACAGGCTGCTCCCATCTTTGTGGAGCCTCTTTCCATGTAGTGTCTCAGGTTTTGAAGACACTCTGAGTCAGGTACCGTTATTACAAAGAGGAAGCCCGGAGCATCAATAGTAACTAGCCCAGGATGGAGGTCAGGCTGTGACTGGTCCAGCTCCGGACAGATGGAGTCCCCCTGAGAGGTAGAGGCAGTGGGTAGTGGTTGGCCCAGTCTCACAGGAGTTGAGGGGATATTGCCAAGTGGCCTGGAAGCTGACCCAAGTCCTGTCCCCATCCAGCCTTGTCCAGGCTCTGCTCACGGTGCTGTCCCAGGTGATGCGGTTTGTAGAGAGCGAATGGTACCTCCCCCTGCTAGTGTCATCCCTGGTGCTGGGCTGGCTGGACCTGCTTTACTACACGCGTGGCTTCCAGCACACGGGCATCTACAGCGTCATGATCCAGAAGGTGAGAGGTGGGGGTGGGCCAGGTGCAGCCAGACACACCTCCCAGGAGACTCCTTTCAGCCTCGTGAAGACTGTCCCCCACAGCTGACCTGAGCAGAAGAGAGCATGAGTTGTTTGCCCCTGTGTCACTTACCCAACATTACTGCGGTGTGGGCGTGCATGTGCCTGGAGCTCTTCACACACGTGAAGATGGATACACATACGTTTGCTGGCCAGTGGCCACAAAGGAACATGCGCATTCCTCACAAAGGAGCAGAGAATATGCATGTGCGCTTCCCCACATGGGGGCATTTGCATAATCCTGCACCCATTTATTTCACAAGTGTTTAGGAGCACCTGTTATGGTGCAGGCCCTTTTCTAAGGGTTGGGAGCACAGTAGTGGACAAAACAGACAAGGGCCTTTCTCAAGCTGGAGTTCCAGTGTGGGGAATGAGAGTGCGAAGGAAACAGCCCAGGATGTTGCTGACTACAAACCGCTACAGAGGAGAGACACAGGACAGTGTTATGGAGAATGACTGGGGCAGATGGCAGTTTACCGGGGTTGGTGAACAAAACCCTTTCTGAAGAAGGTTGTTTCCTATTGTTTTGTTGACACAGGGTTTCTCTGTGTAGCCTGTCCTGGAATTCACTCTGTAGACCAGGCTGGCCTCGAACTCAGAGATCCGCCTACCTCTGCCTCCTGAGTGCTGGGGTTAAAGGTGTGCGCAACTACGACATGCTTGACAAGGGGGAGGGAAACTAAGTTTTCTTTTTATGCAGTGTAGGAGATGGAACCTGGGCCTCCATTCAAGCAAGGCAAGCACCCTACCACTCAGACAGACCTGACAGTCCGTTAGTGGTGACCTGGAAGAATGGGGCAGCCACCTTATGGTGGAGGAGGAAGTATCTTTTTCAGAGGGAGCCTAAAAGTGAAGGCAAAGAGCCAGAAGAGGGGGAGAGTACTCAAGACAGCCAGGGGACAAAGAGCCAGCCGAAGAGCCAAGGAGGCCAGCTGTGGAGCAGGGTGTAGGCAGACAGTATGGATGTCTGGGGCTTAAAAATTCTAGGAAAATGGGGACTGGAGAGCTGGTTCAGTGATTAGGAACAAAGTCAGGCCCCGCTGCATGCCACATGCCAGCAAGCACTTTCACCCACTGAGCTGACTTTTTTGTTTTGTTTTTTTCTTTTTTGAGGCAGGGTTTCTCTCTATAAACCTGGGCTGTCCTGGACACTCTTTGCAGACCAGGCTGGCCTCGAAAGGCAGATTTTGTTTTTTAAAGGCTCCTTCTGCTCAGACTGACCTGTGCACAGTCTATGGGAGTGTTGTGTGTGCAACGGAACCCTACTGACGGGGTCTGCGGTTAGAGTTAAAATGCTGTGGGCCATTCACCCAGGCTTCCCCTCGGGCGGGTGTGTTCCAGGTCATTCTACGAGACCTTCTCCGCTTCCTGCTGGTCTACTTAGTCTTCCTTTTCGGCTTTGCTGTAGGTAAAGACCCTTTTAAACTTTGCGTGCGTGCGTGCGTGTGTGTGTGTGTGTGTGTGTGTGTACTGCGTGCATGCGTGTGAATGTGGGTTTGTGAACTTATGTGCGTGTATGCACAGAGACCCGAGCAGAATGCTGGGTGTCTTCTGCTATTGCTCCCTGTCTTATCGCCCTGAGACAGTGCCTCTCACTTAGCTGGAAGCTCACTGTTTGTTTATTTGTTTTTGACTAGTGAGCTCTTGAGATCTGCCTGTCTCTGTCCTGCAATGCTGGGTTACAGCCACAAACAGCTTCAGAATTTTTTATTTAATAATTTTTTATTTAAAAATTTTATTTAATAAATAATAAATAAAATTTTATTTAATAAATTTTAAATTAATTTATTTAATTTTGCTCTATGTGCATTAGTATGAAGGTGTCAGATGCTTTGGAATTGGCATTACAGACAGTTGTGAGCTGCCATATGGGTGCTGGGAATTGAACCCCAGTCCTTTGGAAGAGCAGACGGTGCTCTAAATCACTGAGCTATCTCTCTAGTTCCTTCCCTGCCCCCAGTTACAAAATTTTTAAGTTACGTGTGTGTGTGTGTGTGTGTGTGTGTGTGTGTGTGTGTGTGTGTAGCTCAGAAGACAGCTTGTGGGAGGTGGTTCTCTCCTGCCATCAAGTGGAAAGTGGAACCTGGGGATCAAATTCATGTCATCAAATTTGGAGGCAATCACCTTTACCTGATGAGCCATCCTGCCAGTCCCGTGCTAGCTTGGTTGCTGGAGATTCAGACACGGGCCCTCATGCTTACAGCACAAGTGCCTTTACCCACTGAGCCATCTCCCTAGTCCAAAGACCCTCTCTGCCCAACCCCAGACTCCCTGATGGTCTCCCAGACTGAGACCTTCCTCTCACTTACTTACAGCCCTAGTGAGCTTGAGCAGGGAAGCCCAAAGCCCCAGAGCCCCGGAAGACAGCAATGCCACCATGACAGAACAGCCCATGCTGGGCCAGGAGAAGGAGGAGGTCCCATATGGGGGCATTCTGGACGCCTCCCTGGAACTCTTCAAGTTCACCATTGGTATGGGTGAGCTGGCCTTCCAGGAACAGCTGCGCTTCCGAGGGGTGGTGCTGCTGTTATTGTTGGCCTACGTCCTCCTCACCTATGTCCTGCTGCTCAACATGCTCATTGCCCTCATGAGCGAGACCGTCAACAGCGTCGCCACAGACAGCTGGAGCATCTGGAAGCTGCAGGTACTGCCGGGGAGTGCCACCCCACCCACCCCACCTCTCCCGTGGGACCCCACTGAGCCAACCTCACCCCAGTGGAGGCTGCTGAGAGCCCAGCACCCAGTCCCATGGCTCTGCCCAGCAGGACCAACCTCTAGACTATGGCTATTCATTCCTTTATAGGGTTGTTGTGAGGATCAGATAAGCCCAGGACTATGAAGTGTCCAGGACAGTGCCTGGCACATAGTAGATATTCATTAAGTCAGTTATCATAATCCCTTGGCATTATCCTTGAGACAAGAGTCTCACTATGTATCACCAACTGTCCTCCAACTCACAGCAATTCCCCTGCCTCAGTCTTGTGAGTGCAGGGATTACAGGTGTGAGTTACCAGGGTTGAATATCAAGTGTGTCTTGAATGCCTGTTACTGGCAGGGCTCTTCGCCACAAACCCAGCAGAGAACAGGAAAATGGCCACTCCTGAGATCCACATATGTGAGATCTCCCCATATTGATGTGGGAGGCGGCGAGAAAGCTTGCAGGGGTCTGATGTGACACTCCCTCACCCTTGCACACAAGCACTAGCTGTGTCTTACTTGCCCAGGGTTGTTTTGGCCAGGAAGAGCCTTACCCTGGAGGTTGGACTCTGCTGCCAAGGTATTGCTGTCCTTGGGCCATTTCCCTTGAGCCTCAAGTGGCAGCCCCATGGGGTCTGGGATGTCCTGGTATGTGTATGTGTGGATGAGGGGTGGTGGGAGAGGGGGGTGGTCTGGATCAGGTAAGAACAAGTCACCATTGAGTACCCCTTATGTATTGACTTTCTACATACCAAAGCGACTTTCCTTTAGTTATAAGACAGGGAAACTGAGGTTCTGAGAGGATTGGAACCTTGTGTCCCCACAGGAAAAATTGTGCAGCTAGATCCCAGTTCATGTGTTTGGCATATGTGCCGTGAAGTTCTGTGAGGGCATCTTCTTTTCCCCTTGCCCTGGATGCTTCTTCCTCCAGGCCAGGTTCCAGGCTACTCTGTTTGATGTGTCCTTTGTCCCCAGAAAGCCATCTCTGTCTTGGAGATGGAGAATGGTTACTGGTGGTGCAGGAGAAAGAGGCATCGCGCAGGGAGGCTGCTGAAAGTTGGCACCAGGTGGGACGGTGTCCCTGATGAGCGCTGGTGCTTCAGGTGAGGAACTGGGCAGGGCAGGGCAGGACAGGGCAGGGACATGGCTGACTCACCCTCCTCAGTGGCTGCAGGAGGCAGGTGCTGGGAGAGGCAGGGCTGAGGAGACCCAGTGTACTCTGGGCGAATGAGGTCAGGGATGCTGGCTCTGAGAGACAAACAGGCCTCACCCTCTGGCCCTGCTGCCATTCCCTGCGAGTTAGCCTGTCTAGCCTGCCAGAGGTATAAACTTAAGGTCCTCTCCCTAGTGATTCCTGACTTCCTCTCTGGTCAAGCATCCAGGATTCTGGGGTGGCTATGGCTATCCTCATCTCTAGGTCTTCCAGTCTGATCTTGAAGCTATTTCCCCTTCTATGGAAACCAAGCTTTGCAATGTTCAGAGAAGAGAAAATAGCCATGAGAGGGAATGTGGTGACAACAGTCCAGCCACAGCAGGCACCTTTAAGGGCAGCAGCTGAAGCAGGAGAGAAGATGGGGGCTTTACTCATGACAAAGCAGCTCAGAACCTGAAGCCCAAAGATACACCTGATCTCACTTCCTGGCCTCTGTTTGCTCTGGGAAACCCAGACACTGAGAACAGCTGGGGAGAAGGGTACCTCTTTCTCCACTTGGATATCTGGCCTTAGGGGCTGTAATCAAGAGTCACAGGGACGGAGCTTGCGGGCTGTGGGTGGACCAGTGCCTTGTTAGGGACGAGCAGAAAGAAAGAGAACAAAACCATCTTCCTCATTATCTGCACAGTCCACTGGGAGGAGGGGTGATCCCTCCCCTAGGCAGAGCCTGCTGGGGCAGCCGCAAGCTTCCCTGAGCTTAGAGCTGCTTTGTCAACCACAGGGTGGAGGAAGTGAACTGGTCTGCATGGGAGAAAACGCTTCCCACCTTGTCTGAGGATCCGTCAGGGGCTGGCATCGCTGGTGAGTAGCCACGGGGCTAGAGCCCTTCCTTGCCCTAGCTCCTGTGAGCATGTGCTGCAGGGTTACTGGCAACACAGGCTTTGAGAGTCCTGGCGGGACTCAGAGACCTGTTGTGTGGTTGCTTCGCAGCTGCGCCCACACCTGCTCCTCCTGCAGGGATTGGTGTCTCAGTCCCTCTCTGTCCTGACCCTGCCCTGCTGGCTTCTCTGGGGAGCACTCTCAGCTCACAGGCCTCTTCGCTGTCTTCTCCCCTGCCCTGGTTATCAGTTGTCCAGGCCTGGGCTGGATTTGTTCCCAGCAAGGGAACAAGTTAGGGAAGTATGTTCCCTAAACTCCTCCTGTCCTAGTCTACTGCACAGGTGCCATCTCCCTGGGCCACTGCTTTGACAGGTCAGCCTACTTAACCTGAGGTTTCTTCCTCCACTAAATAGGCCCCACCCACTTAGCCCCACAGTGTAAATCACTTCCTGTAAGTCGCTGTGGCAGTTGACCTTTCTGTTCTAGCCCTGTAACAGCCTTTTCTGTCTCCACCTTGCTTTGTCCACCAAACCAACTCCTCCCTCGTATCCCACAAATGTTCTCCTCAGATTCCATGGGCTTTTAATTTTCCCTTCTCTTTTCTGCCAATGTCTCTTGCCAAATACCCTAACCTTTCCAGTTACCTGTGACCTGTTACAAGGAGGCTCTCCTGATATCTTGCTGTCCCAAAGCCTGCTGGTTTCCTGCCTTCTACCCACACATTAAGGGTTCCTTTCTTTTCCTTCCTTTCTTTCTTTCTTTCTTTCTTTCTTTCTTTCTTTCTTTCTTTCTTTCTTTCTTTCTTT